TGACTCCCGGCGAGCCCGTTTCACAGAGAGACATGTCTCCCTGGGCTTCCCTAGCAGTAATGCGTTTTCTTCTCTCCAGAAGGCCCAAGCTTGCTCTTGTTGCATCGCTGGGTAGCTTCGAACCCAGCATTCAGGTTCGTAGTCAAGTGCAACCCATTTGCGCCACTCAGGGACCGCATAAATATGAGTGAGGGAGGCAGAATGTGTATACTCGGGAATTTTCTATCCGTATTTTGAAGGTGGTGCCTCCGCCACCTCCCCGCGTGGACAGTATCTTGGTCCTCGAGGTTGTTACCGTGAGTAGGGATTCTGCCGAGGAGCAGTGTTGTGGGAGGAGGTGGCTGTGTTCCTTGAGCCACTTCAGCCTGTGCGGGAACAAGAAGAGAAGGGTACAAGTTAGGACTTCTCTGTCCCACCCTGTCCTGAGGGTCTTATGGTTAAATTCACCAATAAGCCACCCACGGGCCTCCCTCTGCCAGCCTTACCTTTGGTTTTCTTTTCTTAATGGATGCTTGGACATGAATATGATGTTCCTTGGGATATGCTTAATATTCTCCCGAGTTATCCAGAATTGACAGGTTCCTCCTTAGAATGTGCTTAGTCCCGGGCCTGCCAAGGACGACACGGGCCAGGGGAACTTAATGAGCAGTGTCTAGAGGCATCAGTTGAAGAAGACACCTTTGACACATCTTGCCCGCCTCACTGTCACCCTCTGATTTGCTCTGCCTGATGTAGTAGATGGAGTGCTTCAAAGACCCACTCTATTCCATTCTTATTGATGATGTGTTAATCAGAGCAACCCCACAGCGAGTGCTTTGCTTGTGATTTTTACTGCAGGTGTAACTGTGTTTTAAACATGCTAGTTTTAAAAGCGGAGACTTCCCCACGCGGGAAGTAAAAGGTGTGAAATATACTCAGAATGTTCGGAGAGGTGTCTGGTTTGAGGAAGGAATAAGGATTATCTGGTATTTTAAAAGGACTCAGTATCTGTTTGAAGTAACGCCAAACTGCTTTCTCAATTCCTAGCATGTTTAGAAAATACGATTCAACGAGGATAAAGACTGACGAAGAAGCCTTTTCCAGTAAGCGGTGCGTCGAGTGGTTCTATGAATATGCAGGTAGGTAATGGTTTCTGTCATCTCAGTTTGACCCTGGCAGGCGTTGGTGTCCCTGATCAAGAAGAGAAGCAGAGACACGTCACTGGAGGTGCTACTTACAGCCAGAAGCTCAGCCCCGGAGTACAGAAGCTAGAAGCGCACCGAAAAGATAAAATGCACTTGGGAGAGATACTTTGGATTTTGCCAGAAAGCTGTCTAGGCGGTGGATCATGGGGATGGTTGGGTCTGAGCACAGAGGTTGCTGCCGTGGCCCCTTAACGTAGAGCAGTGGGATTCTTGGTAGTGCCTCGTGGTGTTGTCGGGGAATGCGTGCTTTGTCGCTCAGTGTGTCGTGAATCCCTTTGGTGCTGCTTGCTAAAATTGGTAGGCTGTTACTGTGGCTGCGCGAGGATTTAAAAGACGAAGGAAAGTTTGTGACCCAGTTTGCACAAAAGCTCCTTGTACGTTTCCCTACCCTAATCCAGGTCTCTCACCTTCACTGTCCAACAACCTTTGAAAGACTTTTCCGCCCTCATCAGCCCCTCTGTTCCCAGCCAGGTTTCCTGTGCCTGCTGTTAGCTTCCTTTAAGAAAACAAAGCAGATCGATCATTCGTCACTGGCCCCTCCCTCTGCGTTCCAGCCCCAGCTGCCTCCTGGTAAAATACTCACCTGCTAGCCTGCTGGCTCCGGCCTGGGGTGCTGTACTTTTTTCCACCTGTGAGGTGGCCACACCGCTGTTGAAGCCCCTCAGTTAAACTTAGTCGTCCTCACC